AAAAAAGTCCACGGGTCCCCAGCCAGTGGAGGGGCAGGGGTCCCAGCCGGGCCAAGTGTCCCATGTCTCACCTGGTGGCTTTCCAGTCATCGGGCAGGGAGTCAACCTTCTCTCGCAGCAGCCAGGATGTCTGCAGGACCTCGTCCCCATCATCCCCAGCAAAGCACTGGCCCACGAAGACAGCTGTGGAGTCTGGGGGAGCGGTGGCTGTTAGCATCCCAGGGGGACCCAGCTTTTGGGGCTTCACAAGCACCAGCAGGTTTAATGCTCACAGACCCTCAGTGGGTCCCAGTGTTTGCAGGGAAATTAAATTATCTGTGGCAGAGATGTTGTCAAAGCAGCTCTTGGTGCCACCTAGCCCAAATGGTGTTTCAGGAGGTGTCCTGCTGTCTGCAGCCACTATCCGGAGTGGAGAGAGATCAAGGAAGGACAGACTGAGGACAGGAGAGGGGATGGAGGGATTGGGGTGGGTGCTGGGACCTGCCTGAGCTCCCCTCTCCATCCCACCACCTCATCCAGGCACAGCCACCACTGCAGCTACTGACCAGAAAACTTCTTCCAGTTGACGGTGAAGCCAAAGGTGCACTGCCCATCCTCATCCAAATGCTGGGAGCCAACAAGGGGGGACGGCTGGATGGGTTTCTGGGCACTTGACACAGCAGTGTGGTACTCGCCAGTGAAGTTGCCCTGGCTGTCGACTGCGGACACCTGCATCCTAGAGCCCAGGTCGTTCTCCCACCAGCCAGTCAGGTCACACTGCTGGGGCATGAGCAGACGTGTACCCGGGGGCTGCCTGCACACAGCCCCTATCCCTGCCCTGTGGGCTGAAACCCCTGCCCACACATCCCCACTGCCCACGGGGTGCTGGCACTCACCTTGCCATTCCTTGTGGGGCGTTTCTGCTTGCGGCCTGGCCACCACTTGGTGTTGGTCCCCTTTGCCTCCTTTGCACTGGCCTTTTCCTCCCCGGGGATCTCGGCTGGCTCGCAGAGGAGCTTGGAAAAGAAAGAAAACACGGGGGCAAACTGTGGGCAGCAGCACAGCAAGGGATCTCCAGCCCCGTGAGTGCTTGAGCACTTGTTTTTAAGAGACATGATTTATAAAGTTGATGCTATCTCAGCCATGTCAGGAGGGTGAAAAGCTGGGGTAAGCCAAGCAGAAGGGGAGGTGAAGAGGAAAAGCTAAAGGCAGGAGCCCCAGACAGGTAGGAATACAGACAGGACCTGCCCTCCAGCCCTGCCAGGTGATCCCAGGACACATCTGCCTGTGTGCGTTGGGGATGTGTGCTGTGCTCGGTGCCAATGTGTGGCACGAGTGGAGAGCCCACTGGGATGGGCAGAGCTCTCGAGTTCCAAGCAGAAGGGGAGGTGAAGAGGAAAAGCTAAAGGCAGGAGCCCCAGACAGGTAGGAATACAGACAGGACCTGCCCTCCAGCCCTGCCAGGTGATCCCAGGACACATCTGCCTGTGTGCGTTGGGGATGTGTGCTGTGCTCGGTGCCAATGTGTGGCACGAGTGGAGAGCCCACTGGGATGGGCAGAGCTCTCGAGTTCATGGTGGGCTCCTGCATGGCCAAGAAGGCTG